ATTTCAGTATTGACCCATTCAGTGTTCAGCATCATGCTGTTTAGTGTCCATATCTTTGTGGGCTTTGTTGGTTTTGATATTTATTTTTATTCCACTGTGGTCTGAGAATGCATGGCAAGATTTCAACCTTATGGAATTTGTTTATGCTTGATTTATGGCCAAGGATGTGATCGATCTTGGAGTATGTTCCATGTGGCAATCAATGAGTAGAATGCTTTTTCTGTGGTTGTTGGGTGGAATAATCTGTAGGTATCTACTAAGTCCAATTGGTCAAGTGTCAAGTTTAGGTTCTGGATCTCCTTGTTGATTTTTTTGCCTCGATGATCTATCTAGGGCTGTCAGTGGGGTATTTAAGTCCCTGCTATAATAGTGTTAGAGTCAATATCTTTTTTTAGTTTATTTAGTAGTTGCTTTATAAATGCTGGTGCTCCTGTGTTGGGTACATATATGTTTAGGATATTTCTTGTTGATGAATTGAACCTTTTATCATTATGTAGTGTCCTTTTGCATCTTTTAAAATTTTTAATAGCTTAAAGGTTGCTTTGTCTGATATTAAGATTGTAACTCCTGCCTTTTGTGTGATTCATTTGCCTGGAAACTCGTTTTCCATCCTTTAATTTTGAGTCTGTGTGCGTCCCTTTGAGTCTGCTGGATGCAGCAAATAATGGAGTCATGATTTCTTATCCAGTTCGCCATTCTGTGTCTTTTCAGTGGTACATTTAGTCCATTCACATTCAGGCTGATTATTGAAATGTGATTGCTTATCCTTCTCATGAGGTTCTTATAAAGTTTTTTCTGTTTGCTTGTTTTCTTTTAGCTTTGGGGTTAGTGTTGTATGCGTGTGTTTTCACGTTTCTTGTAGTGCTGTATTCTCTGTTGATTCTGTCCTCTGCTGTTCTCTTGGAAAGTGTGTAGTGTTTCTTTTTTTTCTTTCTTTCTTCTGTGCTTAATACCTTTTTAAGTGTCTCTCCTGTAGAGCTGGTCTGGAAGCTGCATAATCTCTTAGGGATTGGATGTCTGGGAAGGATTTTAATTCTCCATCACTGATGAAGCTGAGCTTGGCTGGGGAAATTCTCTTTGAGGACTTTGAATATAGGGCTCTAGTCCCTTCTTGCTTGTAGTGTTTCTGCTGATAGGTCTGCTGCTATTCTGATTGGTTTTCCCCGGTGGCTGGTCTGACCTTTCTCTCTTGCTGCCTTTAGTATTTTTTCTTTTGTGCCTACCTTGTGTAGGCGAATTACTATGTGTCTAGGGGTTGGTATTCTCATTTGATGTCTTGTGGGGGTTCTCTGTATCTCTTGTGCTTGGCTGATCACATCTCTGGTGAGATGGGGAACATTTTCTTGGATTACCTCCTGGAATACTTGTTCCAAGTTGTTCTCATTTTCCCTTTCTTCTTCTGGGATACCAATCAGGTGTAGGTTCAGCCTCGTGATATAATCACATATCTCTTGTAGGCTTTGTTCCTTCTTTCTGAGTCTTTTTTCTATGTTTTTTAAAGATTAGGTTAATTCCTTGTTCTGTTCTTCAAGTTCTGAGATTCTTTCTTCAGCTTGATTGATTCTGCTTTCTATGCTTGTCATCTTGTCATTTATTTCCTAGATGAAGTTTTTTTATTGCCAGAATCTCTGTTACAAGTTATTTCAGTGTTGCATCTTGTCTTTCTTGAGTCTTATTCACTCTTTCCATCCATTCCCTGATCCCTGTCATATTCTGGGGCCAGTCATTGGTGACTTCCATTGTTTGGGCACCAAGGTCTGGTCTCAGGAGTTTTGTCTTTGGTAGATTTGGAATTGCCTGAGATCTTCCTTTGACTTTTCCTCATTTGTGACAGATATCTTGTGTTTTTTTTCCCCTAGTTCTGTTATTCAGTGTCAGTGGGAGAGGCTTTCCCTTCTGATGTTTGCCCAGTCCTCTATTCTTCCTTGATCTGGGCTCTGGATTTGTTCTATTTTGAAATAGGATGGTGGATGGGAAGTTTTGCGGTCTCTTGTAGTTTTTGAAATCTGAGTAAAGTGGGGATGGGGTGCTAGGAGTCAGATGCTACTTGCAACTTAAAATGTTCACTTATTGTGGTATGATTTCCCTGAGATCCACTCCCCACCACCACTCTATATGATGCTACAAAGCAGAAACCAACCCACACCACAAAACAATCTGATAATAACCAAGCAAGACAAAGCAAGCCACAATAACAGAAAAACCCCAAGAAAACTAAACATACACACACGCGCCTGGTATGAAGTAAACAGAGAAGAAAGACAAAAAGACTGAAGGGGGGAGAATAAGAAAAAAGAAAAAAAGAGAAAAAAAAGAAAAGAAAAAAGGGGGGTATTCAGGTGGAACCCTCATACGTCACACATATATTGACACACCCCTTAAATTATAAAAAAATGAATGTTAAAAAAACCCTCCAGAAGAACAAAAGAGCAAAAACCAATAGCAGAATCAAAAGATGAACACTCAGTCATTCACATACACACATAAACAGAGAATGATAAATAAAAGCAGAAAGAAATGGAGAAAGAAAAGGAAAAAATAAAATTGGGAGGGGATGCAGGTCAAAGCCTCACATACACATTTGTGCATAAAGGAAAAATATTTTTAAAATAGATGAACTAACAGAAAATTTTTAAAATTAAAAAATAATTGAAAATTTGAAAAAACAAAGACAAAAGACCTGTCCTCTTGTGGCAGGTTCTGTAGTTCCTCTAATCAGATCTCTCCTGCAGAGCCACCTCTTTCACTATCTCCTCAAGTAGTGGAGCAGGGAAGGAGGAGGGGCAAAGGGGGTGGGTGGGGCTGCAGTCCTCCTCTCCCACTCTCCTGTGGTCAAGGAGATCTCTGTTGGGGATGTACAGGATAGTCTCTTCCCCAGGTATGTACTCTCAGAAGGTTGTCCCAGCCAGGCCTATTCTGGAATGGGCTTCTCCTATTGTCACTGATGTCCAGGCTCTGTTTGGGTTTGTTCCTTTCAGTCGTGACCCAGCTATGTGGGTCTGACGTTCAGAGGCTTGCTGGGGAGGAGGGGGTTTGTGTCAGCCTGGACTCACCACTGATCTCTTCGGAGTTCTTCCTTGTCATTTTCTGGCCACACCCTTTGTTCCACAGTTGGATCAGGGTAGGGGGTGGGGCACCTGGAACTCAGCACTCTCAGGTCCCTGAGAAGTTTGTTCTCTCAGAATATTTCCTCTGGACTATAATCCAGCCCTGAGTAGTTGATCTCCCATTCCCAGAGATCGGATCTCTGGGCTGTGTCTGCAGCCCCTTCCAGTGCCTTGTTAGGTCTCTCTCCTGTTTAAATGGTAAGGGAGTGCCTGGAGCAATTGTTTGTGTGTTGCTTAGGCAACAAGTTGGGGGTTGGGGGAGGAACTGGACAGAGCAATGCAAATCTCTGCCTGGAAAATGGCTGTGGTGGGCAGCTTATCACCAGGCATATATTCCTGTCTCTGGATTCCCCCAGAGCTCTCCCTCCAAAAATTAAATCCTGCGCTCCAGCGAGTCTGGTATGCCAGATGATGGTGTTCGCTGGGTGCTAGATGCTGGGAATCAGCTGAATTCAGCAGGCTTTTCTCAGGCACGTTCCTGCAGGCAGCAGATGTTTCTTGGGAGATGGGCTCTAATTTCAGGGTGGTGGGAACTTTCAGTCGCCTTCAAAGGGGGACCCAGGTGCATGCAGCTGAGTATCCCCTCAGATGGACTTTCACACTCCCACCAGCTCCCGCCTACTCACGTGGAGAGTCTTTATTGTCACCTGCCTCCATGGAGGTTTTTACAGCCCGACCTGTCGGCCACCATCTTAAGCTCCTCCCACCATAAAGGAACTTCTTTGAGATCATATATAAATTTGAAAATGATTGAATCTTCTAGTGGAATTATCTAATGTCTATTCCAACAAGAGATGGAAAATCAGGAAAGAAATCAGAAGCAGCTATAAGTGTTTTATACACCATTTTTATAGACCATTATACTATATATTCTTTAGCACATGCAAGGTCTTCTACTTCTCAGATGTCATACAGGCTCTTAGATGGAACAAGGTGGTGAACCTTGAGCCATATCTTTAGAGGGTTGAGAATCATTTATACTTGTGGTATGATTTGTGGTAGGTGAAGTCATATGAAGTCATGAGCTACCACAGACGGCTCTTTTTCTTTGTTGCTTCCATTAATTCTGACCATGTTTCTTAATATTTAATTTATTCAATTGCTCTATATCATAGACTCCATGTTACTTCAACCCCTTCTTTTATTTAAGCTATTTTGTCTCTTTATATTAGTAACTACTTTTTACTTCATAATTGTATTATTTTCTTTCTCCATTTTTACTCAGCATCAATTCCATTTGGAAGAGGACTTCATAACTTGCCTTTGAATCCTGGCTCTTTACATAGGGCCTGGAGTGCTTTTTGATGGGCAGTCAATAAGTTCTTATTAATGAATGAATTATTGTTTCTCCTGGTTCTTTGCCTTTTGTCCTTCTTAGCATCTTTTTATATATTCCCTTCTGTTCATTGCTTGGTCCGCTCACATCCCAGTAATGCTTTCTCATCCTAAATTTTCTTGAGCCTACTTTAAAAAAAAAAACTTACCATTTCTTCCTTAATAGACTGGTTAATTCCACTTTTACTTGTTTTGTTTATCTGTTTACTCTCTTTTATAATTCCAGGTTGATTTACCAGTTCTTCCTTTGGACTCTGCTTGCTTCTACTGTCTTGTTTGCCTACTGAATCCTTTTTTCATACCCTTCTCCAAGAAAACCATTTCATTGCATAGGATAACTAATGCTAAATATATATAGCATGTATTCTTTTCCAGGTGCTGTTCTAAATGGTTTGTGTATATGAGCCAACTTAATTCTCATAATAATACTATAAGGTAGTACATTACATTTTATAAGTATAGTAAATAAATTTATCTTGATTACCTTATTTTTCTAATTGTTTCTCTTTGCCCTCAAAGAACTTGGCTGATGTTTATATTTTCTGTGCATTATTCCAGATGTTTTGAACAGAGATAAGGATGATGAGCCAACTGTAAAACAAGAAATTGAAGAAATTGAGGAAGAAGTAGAACCACAGGGTGTAATAGTTACAAGAATCAAAAGCGAAATTGACCAGGATCCCATGGGTAGAGAAACCTTTGAACTTGTTGGTAGGTTAGATAAACAGAGAGGGATCTTCTTATGGGAAATACCAAGGGAATCTTTGACCCAGGAACAGAAAATGTTCAGAGGAAACACCAACATGATCCGTAGGAGACCAAATGCAGAGGAGAAATGCCACAAATGTGAAGAATGTGGAAAGGGTTTTGTCCGCAAGGCCCATTTCATTCAACATCAAAGGGTCCATACTGGTGAGAAACCTTTTCAATGCAATGAATGTGGGAAAAGTTTTAGTCGAAGTTCGTTTGTTATTGAACATCAGCGAATTCACACTGGGGAAAGGCCCTATGAGTGTAATTACTGTGGAAAAACCTTTAGTGTCAGCTCAACCCTCATTAGACATCAGAGAATCCACACTGGAGAAAGACCCTATCAGTGTAATCAGTGTAAACAGAGCTTCAGTCAGAGAAGGAGCCTTGTTAAACATCAAAGGATTCACACAGGTGAGAAACCGCATAAATGTAGTGACTGTGGAAAAGCCTTCAGTTGGAAGTCACACCTTATTGAGCATCAAAGAACTCACACTGGTGAGAAACCTTATCACTGTACCAAATGTAAGAAAAGCTTTAGTCGAAACTCATTGCTTGTTGAGCATCAAAGAATTCACACTGGGGAAAGACCCCATAAATGTGGTGAATGTGGGAAAGCCTTTAGATTAAGTACATACCTTATACAACACCAAAAAATTCACACAGGTGAGAAACCTTTTCTTTGTATTGAATGTGGAAAAAGCTTCAGTCGGAGCTCATTCCTTATTGAACATCAGAGGATCCATACTGGTGAAAGACCTTATCAGTGCAAAGAATGTGGGAAAAGTTTCAGTCAACTTTGCAACCTTACTCGTCATCAGAGAATTCACACAGGAGACAAACCCCATAAATGTGAGGAATGTGGAAAAGCCTTTAGTAGAAGCTCAGGTCTTATTCAGCATCAGAGAATCCACACCAGGGAGAAGACTTATCCATATAATGAAACTAAGGAAAGTTTTGATCCAAATTGCAGTCTTGTTATTCAGCAGGAGGTCTACCCTAAGGAAAAATCTTATAAATGTGACGAATGTGGGAAAACTTTTAGTGTTAGTGCTCATCTTGTACAACATCAAAGAATCCACACTGGTGAAAAGCCCTACCTATGTACTGTTTGTGGGAAAAGCTTTAGTCGGAGCTCATTTCTTATTGAACATCAGCGAATCCACACTGGTGAGAGACCCTATCTGTGCAGACAGTGTGGCAAAAGCTTCAGTCAACTTTGTAATCTTATTAGACATCAGGGTGTTCACACAGGTAATAAGCCCCATAAATGTGATGAATGTGGGAAGGCCTTTAGCCGGAACTCTGGTCTTATTCAGCATCAGAGAATACACACAGGAGAGAAACCTTATAAGTGTGAGAAGTGTGACAAAAGTTTCAGTCAACAGCGCAGTCTTGTCAATCATCAGAAGATCCATGCAGAGGTGAAAACCCAAGAAACCCATGAATGTGATGCTTGTGGTGAAGCCTTCAATTGCCGCATTTCTCTTATTCAGCATCAGAAATTGCACACAGCATGGATGGAGTAAATGTAGAGAAATACACAAGCTCAATTTTATTTGAGACTAGCTACCCAAGTGCAGTTTTAGTACGACTCAACATGGGTCAGACTTAGTGATAGATAAAACAAATTCTCCTTGGCCTCAGGCAGATGGTTTCTAAAGATTCTGTGGATAGTGGAAACTGCCCGTGGGCAATCGACTTCTGTTTTGATGATCATAGAAGGAAGACTTGGGAGTTTATCTAAGCATCCTTTAATCTTTCAGCAGAGAGGTTATACCCAAGTTTAGAGCATGTGGGAAGTGCTCTGAGGAACAAAGTGAATTAACATAAGAGAGTTGGGAGCAGCTGATGTCAGAAAACTATAAATAATGATGAGTCTTCTGTCACTATCATGGTGGTTCTTTCAGTTCCATGATATGTTTGGCTATGCATGGTAATTAAACATATAAAAGTTATCAAAGAAAGCTCTGATTTTTTAAAAACCAATATAGAATACAGTTTGTCATTATTTAAGAAAGCCAGCTGTTAAGCATGTGAGTTAAAGGCAGTTTCAATGCCTTATGGGTCCCAGATCTATGAAATAAGTGGACCATTAATTTTACGTGTAAAGATTACATAATTAACAAACCTAACAAAGGTGTTACCAAGGAACCTTTGGGAGTGCCTTTTTTTCCCCCCAGATGGACCCCAAAAGATGGAGGAAGACGCTGTTCTTTTGTGCCCTTCTCTCTGTGAAAGAAACTCTTAATCCTATAAGAATAAGCTTATTCCTCCACAACCAGGAGCATGTAAAAGTGTATATATTTTGATTACCAAGAATTGAAAATAAAAAGACCTACAGTCTGCTAGGAAGCTGACATATTTTGGTATTGCATTGACTTTTATGATAACTAGATTTTGCATGCAATTTAAAAATTTTTATTTCTGGTTCTAGGGCTTCCTTAGTTAATGGTTATTATAAACCTGTTAATTCATCTGTTTTAATCATTAAAACCTGTTTTGTTTTGTTTTTTTGCTTTGTGTAAGAGTTCTTTATTACTTTAGTGTAAAACCAATCCTATCAAATCATTACTGTGTTTTAAAAATTAGAATCAAGGATTTGAAGGCAATTCTTCTCACTTGTCCTGCTTGTGACTAGTTAGCCTTTTCTGGAATAGTTCAGTTAAGGTTAAGTCTAGGTTCTTTGTTTCTGAGTATAGAATTCCAAATCACCAGAACTTTGTAATTCTAGCTTCCTAATAATGTAAGCAAATGACCTCCTTTTCTTCTAGATCCAAACATTCTAAAAATCACTTCCAAACTTTCTTCTTCCTATGTCTTTGTGTGTGTGCCTGCATGTAAATATGGGGGTTATGATACATATATTTAAAGATACCTATCTTTGTGCACTCCCTTATTCAAATTAGGTACTCATAGTTAATAAACAGCATTTCAAACCAGAGCTTGTAGCCCAATAAAAAGTACAAAAAATAACAAACCCCTTGATTCCTCAATAAATAATTCTCCTGCTCTGGATCTTCCCAGTATTATTTATGTCTGTGGTTCCCAGACCAGGGTTTCAATTAGTAAGTTTCTTAGACCTGTTCTCAGTATTTTAAAAGCCTAATGTAAAGTGTTATGTTTTCACTGCATGCGTACTAAAACACTTATTTGCTTTTTGCAGGAGTTAAATCAGTTTCATGTATGGTTATCTTGCTTAGCAGAAGCCCTGGCTATTGTTACTATGTTACCTCATAGTAGCTTGGGCCCATGGTTCTACTAGATATTCCTACATAATTTTTAATATCCTTGAATGTGAATCTGAGTGACAACTCAAAACTTCAGTAGCAGTGGGCAGTTCTTCACTATACAAACCACTGCTTAGAAATAAAAACAGCCCCCACAAAAGTTTTTTTTTTTTTAAAGCAAGTTATTGTATGTTCATTTTTGTTTCCCAAGAAAATTATAGAGGTATGCAGATTGCTCTAGAGAGGGAAATGAAGTGCCTAGAAAAGGGAAGAAAGAAGTTAAATCTATCAAGAGGAGGTGATGCTTAAGATGAGACTAAAAGATGAGTACCAGTGGAGACAAATAGTGTCTGAAGACATCAGAGAACCTGGTAGCTAAAGTGGGAACTCCTGATTGACTGATGACTCAGGAATGTGACAGGAGGTAAGGCTGCTCTTAAGTAAGTTTAGATCAAGAGGGCTGTCATACTAAGGAGACTATTTTGCCTAAAATTCTGTGCTAACCTTTCTTTTGTATTTAAGTATGTTGTGTATATTAAAAGGGCACATATTTGAAGTATACAGCTCTTGAGTTTTCACTACTACACACCTGTGTAATTGGCACCCAGCTCAAGAAATATCACTGGTACCCCCAAATACTTCCACTGTGTTCCTTTTCAAATAATACAGACATCCTATGATTTCTTCATTTTGACTCAAGAGGCAATGTGAAGGTGAGTAGGAGGGAAAATATTTGAATTCATGGTTCTTGACCTTTCTTAGATCTATGGATCTTATTCTCCTAACATTGCACATGCAAAATATTGTGTCAAGGACTTGTTTCTATGCTAAAAACCTACTGAAGCGGTCTTACAGTAGTACAGTTGAGAGATTATGGTGCTTTAAGTAAAGCAGTGATGGGAATTCAAGAAAGATGGATCTGAGAAATACTTATAAACAGACTTGATTACTAATTGGATGACAAAGGTAAGAAAGAGTAAAGATTAAAAGTGGGGTTGGGTGGTTAGTGCTCTTATTCACTGAAACAGAAAAAGTGTGTCTGGTATGGAATGAGAAAATTACTATTCAATATGTAGTGTTTGGTTTGAGATAGGAAAGATTCAAAGGCAATTAGAGATATGGATATAGTATTTAGAGAAGGGACCTGGGCTATAAATTGGATTTAGGAAATTACCAGTGTTTAAACATGAATAGATTAAGGAAAAGTAAAGCAAGAAAAGTCCAGAGATGGAATCCTAGAGACTATTCTTGCTTAGTGGGTGGACAAGATGCAAAGGAGACAGGGAGGAACAGCCAGAAGTATGGAAAACTCAACATGTAGGGATAACTACCATAGGAGAGTGACCTGGAGAAGTGCTGCGAAGAAGTTATGGAAAAACTGAAGAGTGTCCTTTGGATTTGATAAATCAGAAAGTCATAAATGAGTTTCTGTAAGAGCAACTGGGAGGAGACAGTTTTCAGGGAGCTAAATCGTATCTGAAGAGTAGATCATCAGCTCCCAAATATTATTCATGACAAAAATTTTATTTCAAGTGATAAAAATATGGACAATATAGTATCTTTTAAAAAAGCTAAATTGATTAAAAACCTTACTTTATTCTTAAATTATGTTCTTTAATAAGTCCTTTTATGAAGTCATAGTGATTTGGGGAATGGTCTGTTAAACTTACATATTTATTTAGTTTAAAAAATGACAACACTTTATTGGTTATCCTTTTTACTCATTTTTACTGGTCTATAAAGTCAGAGCATAAAAGTAGATTACTTATCTATGAATATAAAAAGGGCTATAGAGCAAGATTAAAGAAAAATTTGTGTATTTTTTTGTTCTGAAATGTTAGCCAGTTGAAGGAAAGTTTGAATATAAAGGAGAGCAGAAGAAAAATAAATAAGTTATTGGATAAGCTAACATGAATTCTAGCAGTAATAGAAGGATTTTCTTTGGGAAACTTCTTCCTCCAATTAGAGAGAAAAAGAGGGCAGATTTAGTATTTGACTGGGGGAAGGAGAAGGTGAAATTCCCTTGATATGATTCAGTCTTCAAGAATAAATTCATGTTTTGAGAGTTAGAGAAAGAAGAGGGAGGACATGGTTAGGGGTAGAGTTAGGGACCTTGTTTATAATAAAGGTTTGAAGGAGCAGCTGGGGAGAATAGGGAGGGAAGCAGAAACTGCAAAGGGCTTGTGGGATTTTGTTTAGAGGCCAGCTGAAGTAAAACTGAACAAAATTAACGCCTTCTTGGAATTAACATACAGAGCAATTTTGAAATAAAATTAAGTTTAAAGTCGATTAAACAAATTATTTAGTAGATAAAATGTCAAAATGAGCAAGTGAAAGCAGTCTTTGGTGGCAAAAGATAGGAAACCACTATGAAACTCCATTTCTCTGTAATTTTGGTGAGTGGGGAATTTTGCATTCATATGTCTTCCTAAAGGAAGATATCCTCAGCAAATCTAGCGGTATCTAACTGAGCACAGTGCTTGGAGAATAAATTTCAACTCTTTTTTTTCCTACCCAGTCCAGATATTCTAACCTTTTTTTTTTCTTTTAAAGTTACTATTCCCAGTCAGTATTTGATACCTTTGACATTCCTTCTCCAGAAGTGTTTTGTTGCCTCAGGTGAATGGTGGTGATGGGTTTATTGATATCTTTTTAATTAAGGCCATCTATAATCATGATGCGTGAATAAACAGAAGAAAGACACATTTACTGATACAAGTTCAAGTAACATGAATTTTTAAAATACCTGCCACGTGCAATATTAATTCTATATCTTTTAGTTGAACAGTGGCATCAAGCAGCCCTTTATCCTTAAGGAGATTTGGGGAATGAATAGTGAGCCATATGTGTTACATAAAGACTGGCAGTGCCGGACCTAGTGGCTCATGCCTGTAATCCCAGCACTTTGGGAGGCAGAGGCGAGAGGATTGCCTGAACCCAGGGGTTTGAGATGAGCCTGGGCAACTTGGTGCGATCTTCTCTCTATAATAAATTTAAAAATTAGCTGGATGTGGTGGCACATGCCTGTATTTCCAGCTACTTAGAGGGCTGAGGCAGAAGGATTGCTTGAACCCAGCAGGTCAAAGCTGCTGTAGCTGTGAGTGTGCCATTGCACTCCAGCCTGGGAGACAGAGTGAGACTCCAACTCAAAAAAGAAAAAAAAAAAGAAAAAGCTATACTGGGGACAATCACCCAACTTTCCAAAACACTGTTGATTAACTCAAATAATACCTGGTGTGTGCCTCTTACCTGTGCTGCTCCCTATCCAGGAGCCATGCTCTAAGAACAGGTTTCTCATGTTAGTCCACACTTCCATGTTACATGATAGTCATTAACATTCCTGCAACCAATGAGTGCCCTCTGCCTTCCTTGGTAAATCTCCCAGGGTGAAACCAGGGCAGGAGAAGAAAATGTTGTAAGTGGGTACAGAAAGATATCTTGACCTTGAATATCTTAGGAAGGCAGAGTAGATTTCTCTGACACTTGATACCTTGGGCTATCTCTTAGCCCTGGCTGTTCTTAACTGCCAGAAGAATCAGTGCTATGTTTAGTAGATGCCCTATTTTTCATGCGCCACAGTACTCAGGGCTGAGTCTGCGCATGTATGTAAGTCACTTTTTGAGAACTAGGTGAAGAATTTTGAGTTTTCATTTGTCCCAAGTACTTGCCTATTGGGTTCCAATGAAACAGACTTTATCAGAGTAGAAGATGACTACGCTACATAAGGAGAGTGTTTTGTTGTATTCCCCCAATCTAAAAATGTCATGTTTACTCATGCACTCCACCAACAAAAGGCCAGGTCCTATGTTGTTGGATTGCTGTTATAGGTACTTAACTGGCTTTCAGTTCCCTCCTGGTCCTCTATATTTAAAAAGGAATTTTCAGCAGTGCTTTTATCATACTATTCCTTGATTAAAAATCATCCCACTTCCCTACTTCTTTTCACTTCAAGGTAAGACTTTCCAAAATGTCTCTGTCCCCACTCCCACACTGCTACTCCAATTGGCTTCACCATTTCAGGCTGATTTCCCACAATTCCCTCAACACATACAGTCTATACTTTTGTCAGGATGCAGATAATTTTTTTTAAAAGCAGGATTTATTGAGAGGACAGAAAAGCTCCCATAGTAGGAGGGAACCTGAGAGGGTTGCCCTAGGATGCAGATAATTTATTCCTACTCAAGTGCTTTTATCATTCTTCAAAAGCCAACTGACAGGGAAAACTATAATATTTATTCACAACTTATGTTTCTGGCACTGTACATAAAACATTGCTAGTCCTCACAACAACCCTGTTT